TCATTGCGGCATCGGATGCTGTGGTCGCTCTTCTTTAAGGTGGTGCAAATCACTTTCCACGTTCCAGTTTTTTTGCCTTCCACGACCTGTTTCTCCCCTTTAAACGCCGATAATAGTCGTCGCATTTTATACGCTCTGCATAGTGACGCGTTCCATTCTTGTTCGTTCTCGGTGAGAACGGAGAAAGATATCTTCCGTTCGTCGACGTCGTACTTTCGTTTGGCACACCGGTCGCGTCCTTTAAAGCTTGCGGTTGTGCGGATCGGCTTCCCGCGGAACTTTAGAGGAGGAAACTGGGATTCCCTTATTATCTATTTAATCGCGTCCCTCGACATCGGTCGGGTTTTCCTTGTTTCGTCCCTCGCGGCAGGAACCGTGACGCGCATTCGAACCACTTTAATGAAGTTCGCGCGAACCCCCAACGAGGAAACCGCGTTCACGGAATTTGTGAAAGGCTCCGTTTTTCTCTTACCGCAACCACGACGCTTTTCTCATTACCCGTGACACGGTTTTTCCTGCACGTGCCACGACGTCGGGCCGATATGTCAAGCGGTTCAAGGAACAATAATTGTTATTGAAATTATCTTCCTCCACCTTATTTGTTAAAGCACTCTGATCTTATATAACGTGATTCGAATGAGAGCATCGAAATTAATGCATCTTTCAATATTTATACATATACGTACGTGAAGTACACTGTCATCAATCATAATATAAAGAATGTAGAAAGGTGCGTGATGTGTAGAAGTATTTTGGATAAATTTCATATGCAATTGCCCACATACATAATTCATAGTTTCTCTTTGTGTACCGAGGACTAAGTAAATGCAGGAGGAAAACACAAACAGAGATCAGTCACCAGTTTCAGCGAAGTTACCACACGATCGTATATCAAGGGACTCGATTACGATGCGCCGCCGACGGCACTTATAATCGTGGCAAGCGTGGTGGGTGTAAGGGTCGGGAACGAGGAAACCCAGTCGCGTGTAAACTCTGGGAGCCGGCGTTATCTCGTTCATTGTCACTACGGACGTATAAAAGACACGCTCTTTCGACAGGTGTCTTCAGTAAATTTGACTCACTAGCGTGAAGAGGACGACCACGTCCCCGGATACGATTCAGTTCTTTCCAACGTCGTGTGTGAATCTTCGGACGTGAAGCTCGGTCGCGAACAACCGGTTTGTTTGGTGCTGTGCGCGTATAGGCCTCACCCTCGCGTCGGTCTACGCCTCCGTTCAACCCTCCGCAACCCCCCGCAACCCCCGATTTCTTCGTTTCCTGGACAAATACACGAATACGATTCTCTCCGTCTTGGTGCCCGTTCGTGTAACGTTCGTGCACTGTCAGCCCGCGTAGTGAAATCTAGTGAAGTCGCGAAGGACACTTATGAAGGGGTCCATCAACGCACCGCGGCCTATCGTTGATCAGAACAGATATATTTGGGATAACGATTGGAAACAGTAGTGTAGACAAGGTACCGTATCATTGTCATCGAAGTTCATTAGTGTGTTAGTATTAGATGAATTTGAATTTCACAGTCGGTCGTTTTGGATACAGTGACTTCTAATTCGTTTGTCTACTTATTATTATTATTAAATGAGTCAGTATAAAATGTCATCAGATTGCACCCAGCCAGATTGTATACAATAAAAAATAAGAAACCTTCCAATAATAGTAATCGAATAGTCGATCATTTTTATTGGCTCATTGATACTACTAAAAAAGAAAAAACCACATGTGCTTCGTGCGACAGACACAATTTTTCGGGATTATAGAGGATGATGTTATATTTCACACGTATTACATTTTTTAATTTCCCGTTTTCGTATGAATGATCGCATGAAAAGTGAAGCGGGGCAATCAGCGGTGTTAAACGCGTCGCGTGGCACGTCAAGCGGATGCAACAGGAAAGCGTAGAATCGCTTTGACCTATGATCCATGCACTCGGGTTAAATTATTTGCTTTTGACGCCACGCGTTGCTGCTCCACCTTGATCGACCCGATCTACATGTTATCCTGTCATCGATTATTCACGTAATTTCGAGCCAGACGTTTCATTTCATGCCGGCATCGTCAGAAAACTCGCGAGCGAATTCTATAAATAGTTAAAACCAAGTTGAACGAACGAGAAAGGTAAACGACCACGCGAGAAGGGAAACGGGGCGATGAAACCTCGCGTCGTCGCACTAACTTTAATCCTGTTTAAAATTTAATCGGTGACGAGTGAAACCGAGCTCTGTGGCGTCCGATGCGGCTTTTGTTCGCCGACTTCAGTCGCCGTCTTTGCCTACGAAACGACGCGACGCGACGCGCACCCAATATTCAACTAGTTACGCGAGCAGAGAAAATACGTGCTGTTCCGTATCGCGATCTCGCTTATCATAATCCAGATCAAATAAGTTTCATTTCAGTTTCTCCAGTCGGTGGCGTTAGCAATGTTTGTTCAATTAATGAAGTATATCAATTAATATTCGTTAATATAACTAACTGCCTCTGTGTTCATATACTAATTGCAAATTGCACTGTGGCAGATTGAGATAAATTAAAGCCGAAAAGAATTGGAACCAAAAACATGAAATTGGAAATATTCGTGAAATATTTGAAAAAATCATTGAATGCGTTGCACGTATAAAATTTTAATTAATTCCTCTGTTTTGTCCTGTGTCGAGTTTGGAAAATTCAGTCGCAGCGAGCGCGGCTCGGAACGCAGCCAATTGCAGAGCCAGTAACAGAAACTGGCCTCCCAAAATAATCTTGGTCCGCGTTATAATGTTTATTAAAGCACGGCTGGGAAGTGGCACAAGGTTCGGCTAGGATCGCCGTGTTCGTTGACCTACATGAAGAGAGATCGGACGATTTACCAATTTTCGTTGGAATTCGCACGTGTACCCTGGGTCCTAGTTAATTCCGCGCCCCTATTCTTGATGTTAATACCGGCGAGAACGAAGTCTGACTCTACCCGCGGCATCGTTATTATCGTAGTTTAAATGAACTTCGTTGAAACCCATACCCCATCCTCGTTATTTCTCTTTGATGTTCTTTGTTACTCTTCGAATTTATTTTAAAACGCGGTGGAAATTCTCTCCCGCGGGTCGACCGTATTATAGTCCCTTGGCGCACGAAAACCAGTAAATGCTCGGTTATATAATGCGGTAATTAGGCTTTTCATCGGCCCTTATCTTAACTGGAATTATCATAAAGGATCACAATATGTTTGATTATTATTATATTTGATTGTTATAATTATAGCGTCGCCGTTTCGTAGCTTCCATTGTTTTATTATCTTCGATTTTGCTCCGACGGCTTTTGATAGATCGTCGTTCAGATAGAAATACTATCGTACTATAAATGTGATTTTTTTCATTTAAACATCTTAATTCACATTGTCATTTCGATAAGCTTTTAATGTTACTTAGTTTATCACCGTTCCGCGTATCATGACGAAAGATCGTAGGAATTGTTGCAATATGGACGAACAAATACTTTTATGTTTGTCAATACAGACGACTTCATAATTCGCGATCTAGTTTGTCAACAACAATGATAACAAAATCAATGAGGAAACATTAAGATTTTCCTCGTCAGCTTCGACGATTGTACAATAAGAGTACAAGAGTAAAATCGTAATACGATCGAATATCTACGAAACTAGACGACATTTTTAGAACGTGAAGAGAAAATTGATTCAACGTCAACAGTTTTGTTTGCGCCATTACGATTCTTATTGTTAGTTTCTCTGATGCTTTTACGAAGATATAGAGGGCAACTACAATCTAAATATGTACTTCCTTGCCATTGTAAACGAAATAATGACAATAAAAGCGAATCGATTAGATAAACGTCAGTGTTTTTTAAATATCAACTTAAATACTAACTATATAGAAACTATAGCAATGATTCATCACAATTCATGATTCTTCAGACTTCCATCATTTCTACAATAAGAACAATCAATAAGTGCAATACAAATCTTAAGTGTTTGAAATTCATTGTATTAAGTGTTTTTATATGAAGCTGATATTATTCTATAATTAAGTTCAATGACGCATCAGCGCAGATCTCACCCGAATCAGTCGAATCACCCCCACACGAGTTTCTTCACAGATAAGACGTGAAGAGTAACATTTGTGCACCGTCGCCGGCTAATGTCGCGTCAGATCCGTATCTAGCAAATCTCAGTCAACAGCGAATACAATAAAGAATTAAGCCAATGATTTTTACGCAATTCTCAACGCAAGATTAGACCCCTGAAGATTCATTGATATTCCTGTTTTTATAAACATCGTCAACAGAGAGATTTCATCGCTTCTCGTTTACAATCTTATAACGAGTATTTCAGTTTTACGTACATCGTCGTACACTGTTCGAAGCACTTTTTTTATTGTACACAGTCTATGAATGCTTCCGCGATTTGTGTGTTGCGCGAATTCGTTTGAGGGTCAGAATATTTATAAAGGGAATTTGAAAGAGTTGGGTTGGTTCGAAAGCTCGTTACTTCCGGCGACGAAATTCACGGATCCGATCGGTGTGCAAGGCGCGGGTGCGACAAGAATTTCCGCGGCAGCCAAGCAGCGCCGACGTTTTGTGCTGATTCGCGTTAACAACGTTAAACTCGAAAGCTACCGTAACCGAATTGGACGGACGACAAGCTGCGGGGGATAGTTAGCGGCAGCTGTTGCGCAAAGGATTGTTAATCCGTTGACAAGATCCCAGGCCGCTTTAATCTCCTTTGTTACGCGAATTTCTATCCCCTCCGTCACGCTCCTTCTTTTGATTCGAAAGTCCCATGAAACTGCAAGCCCCATTCCCCTGTCCAATTACCGTTCTTCCTGATCTCCTTGTATTTTTTGTTTCGTTTTTGTTCAGGTCTTGCTTTTATAAAGGAAAACGTAGATACAAATGCAAAGATTGATAAATCGTAGATAAAAGCAAGTTTTCATTATACATATATGCATTAAAAATATATTTAGTTTATTTGTTAATATGGAGATGATGTGCTAAGGATATTAATTAAGAACGTTGAAATTTTCAAGAGAACTTGTTGAATTTTGCTAACATTTTAAAGCGGAGCAAAAATGATGAATCTTTTGTTTATATAATACACGATTTATTATTACGTACATGTGTCACTTTGCTTATCTTACGACCATCCTCGATAATTCCCAGATGTTATCTACCTGAATTATGTCATTCGTTTTCTTTCAAGTGTATCAAATTAATTATATTAGCAAATATCTTGACATACGATCTATCAATTTTCATGTGGCTATTTCGACCGGAGGCTAAATATATAGTTCCAATTTCTGGTTCTTGTGTTCGTATCGTTAAATTTTCACTGTTCCGAATTGCTAAATGAGAAATCTGTCGGTCGTAAGGGAGACCCTATCTTTGATTTTCTTATTTCCGAGCAATTTCACTCGGTGCGGGACGAAAAGAAATGTAGGAACGGTGTCGCGTTCCAGCTTTGAAATATCGACGATATCGGGGGGGCAACGAGTGAAAACAGGTTGCCCGCGACGGAATTCATTTTTACAAGGGGATTAGCCCCGGCTACAAGCGCGAGTCGGGCGCAGAGAGGAACGCGCGGTGTCGCGTGGCGAAATCTTTCCATTTGTCACGAATCGGATTAGCCTTGCGTTCGTTCTTTTCCATCCCCCGTTCTCCTCTCGAAGGGGATGGAAAAACGAAACGACGTGCTACGCGTTCGTCATCGTTTTAAATCGCGAATCGGTTTCGGAAAGCCTACTACGCACGCCATCGAGATTGTAGATTGATCTACAGCGTGCTATATCGACGGGCTCATCGATCTCGTCGTATCGATGAGACTCACGCGCAATATCTCTCGCCAGCGAACACTTGACCGGAATTCCCAGTCCCGTGTATCGCCCCCCGTTGTTTCGTCCTTGTTCTCGAGCCCGGGGATTTGTTTCTGTACATACTGGAAACAGACGTCGCTGTTGCTCGGGTCGCGTCGCGTTCCGTTTCGACGCTTTTGAAACTGTCGAAATCGCGGGGCGACCAGGGAGGACCGTAAACACGGCTGAGTGTTTGCGTTCCGACAGTAGCACGTCAAGAAACGCATTGTCATCCGTTGCCCGAGCCCTTTGTGTTTCTGGAAAACAATGACGCACAAAGTACGCACCGGAGGGCGAAATGGAATCAAAGGGGACGACCGGAGACGATTTCTCGACGCGAAAATTTTTGTATGGAACCCAGAAAATTCGTCGCGTATCTGGACGCTGAATCTCGAGGTCTTCCCAAACGGTCGAGATAGCGGCGAGCAAACTGAGTCTGGCGCCGGATTACCGTTGCCTTTCGATAACGATGTCACCTCACCATCTGTCATCAATTCTAATACGATACTTATTCCTATTCACGCCTCCACGAATGGCAAAATAAAAATTTCATAGACGTTAAAATAATCCTATTATCAGTAAAAATGAACTGTATACTACATTATGAAGAATCTAATAT